TTCGGCACCCATTGACTGTTTTCGGCAACCGAAATTTAAACGTTTATTTCACTGTATTTTCCCATCAAAACTCTTCGCTGAATGTATTAAGCCGATTCCTTACCTTTTCAGCTTCAATCTGATTACATTTTTACGACTGTGAATTCCTGTTATACCATATTTTTCTTTAAATAAAATAAACATACTACAAATTACGGCTGATTTCGAGTTGCCGATAATAGAACAGCTGGTTAACACGCAGTTCAAATGGAAAGGTTGCCGAAGAAAAAGAGACTGCCGACAATAGTCACTCTCACCTGAGAAGTTTGGAGCGTTGTAAAACCATGTTCAACCCGTTTTGATCAATTCTGTCGATTGAAATAGGTAGAACAGCAAGCAGCAGATAAATGTCAACAAACAAACCTGTCATGTATGTGTGTGACGCTGAGAAATCGCTAATAGAAGTTCGGACGCTGCTTAGATTGACGAGAATACGTAAATTCCCCTAGTTTGTTTGTATCATCGTTGATCCCATGCCCACTTCTTTTGTTGGGTGTGCTTAGAATACCCTGCTCATTAACAAGGCTCTTCACCTGCCTCACCATGTACGTTGGTGCGTTGAATTCTGCTACAACTTTATTCACGGACCAAGACTTTACTTTGCTAATGTCTGCTGTATCTAGGCCAAATATATTTTTTCGCACTGCTTGTGTAATTTCTAGAGATTTTATTGAACGATAATCCATGCTCCTCATGTTCCTCGATGAAATTGGAGATAAATTCAACGTTTTCACAAAGCCATTAAACTTCTCAACATTGTATGGGCGTTGCAGATCATCTGCTGATGAAACCGATGGTACCGTATCTGAAGGAAAGAAGAAGAAAAAATAATTAATAAGTGCAATTAGGAGGTTGCAATTAAAAGTTGATAGAATCATCAGGATGACTGTTCTTACCTAGCTCATCTACGGATTGATGGCCACTCATTGATGGACCTGGATCATCACTATGTTGCTGCCCACTAGTTGACGGTTGGATATTTACTTCATTTCAAACCGATCGGCGTTTTTTCATAACTGGACTTCTATTATGAGATATCACGCTACGGCATGACTCACAAATGCTCATCGTTTCATCAATTTCGTGGTTATATCCCATAGAATGTATTTTTTCTACCTACGTTGACGATATGGCCTGTAACTTATTTCGGTTGCATCTCGGATTATTTATATTTGCACAACATTTCAATCCTTTGAGCCTTAATTTACTACTTTGGTCCATGATAATAATTTTACTACAACTTGTCTTCACAACTTTCGTTACCAGATTGAGTGCTGCTTGTATGAAATCAACCTTAGTTTTATAGTGCTCATAGGTAGAATGAAGTGGTAGGTATATAATGTTAATGGTTCAGGTATAAATAACAGAAGGGCATATAGAATTATGATACGATAATACGATACGTTGACTTCCCAAATCGTTGTTGATTCGAAAGAAGATCTCAATTTAAATTTTATTCATACCTAATTTTTTATGGATAATTTGAGCTAAGAATTCTAAGTTGCTATAGGAGTATCGGATTTTGCCTCAGTAGTAGACAATATAATCAATTATATTATTTTCTAATGATATAAGCCCTTTTCATATGGAATTCTTGATTAATCCAAGTGATTTGTTGATTATTAGACAAAATTTAATCACAAATGGAGCTTCATTGGGTTCTGAGATGATTTTGAGCTTCACTGGTTTAGTTTTGTGTAAAAATGGTACGTTAAAAAATCAGTTCAGACATGAAAAAGTTTTTGTAATAAAAACTTTTTTCCTTAAAAGTGCCCATCTCGCAATGTATGGACGGATGATAGTAAACATAATTACCTATCTTGAGGCAAAGTTTCATCCAAATCAAACATGGCCATTTTTTTAAATCGACTTTGAATTTTAGAAATCGATTTTTTTCAGTGTAGGTCTCAAATGAAATTTTTTTCAGTATTTTTTTTCGATAATTTGGTCAATTTCCTAAAAGTTATCCATGCATTCTATTTTTGTTGGAGTTGTCATTTTTCCATAATATTTTTTTGAAAAAAATCGGCAGAAAAAGTTTGGCCCTTCTCAAATGTTAGTCTAGATAAATTTTGGAAAAACTGAGTTTGCAAAAGTGCTTATTTAGTCAAAGTCTACACATCCAGAAAATTTTATTGAAATCTGAGAGAGTGCTGCCAGCTTCAATTCGATTTGGCGCGAAATGCGTCATAAGCCGTCTAACGGTACCAGTACAGAATTAGGAAGTGTCCTTTTTTGACCCAGCCAGAATCGGTTCTGGGTAACTGTCTAACAGATCTAACTGTAGGTCCATGGCATGATGTCTATTTACTTCTGGATGAAAAATCATAAATGTTGAGCCGTCGACGGTTTTGGAAAGTATCCTTTCAGGAGCCCTACCGGAACCAGATTCGGATTTCCAGAAAATACTAGATCCACCTGTTGGTACATGGAATGATGTCTAGTTTTAGTCTTGATGAAAAATAATACACATACGATTCAATTATCTGACAATACCAGTAGGTGAGGATTTGAAAGAGTTTGTTTTTGAGCAGGGCCGGAATCAGTACCGGGTATCAAGATGTGGTCAGATCCACCTTTTGGTACATGGCATGGTTTCTATTTACTTCTGGATGAGAACACATAAATTTTGAGCCGTCGGACGGTACCAGTACATAAGGTTTTGAAAGTGTTTTTCTTTTGGGCCCTATTGGAACCAGTTCCGGGAATCCAGATGTGACCAGATTCACCTGTCGGTTCATGGCATATTGTCTATTTTCTTATGGTTGTAAAATTATAAATGTTGAGCCGTTGGACGATACCACTGCATGAGGGTTAGGAAGTGTCTTTTTTGGGGCCCTGCTGGAAATGGTTCTTGGTATTTGGATGTGGCCAAAGCCACCTGTTTATTTGTGGCATGATACTTTTGGATGAAAAATCACAAATGGTGAGTCGTCGGACGCTTCCAGCACATGAGGTTTAGGATGTGTCCATTTGTGCCCTATCGGAACCGGTGCCAGGCATCCTAAATGATTAAATTGGAAAAATCCTTGGCAGGGTACCATTCTAGGAACCTTTATATTTCTTTTGAGGCCAATATAATCGGTTCAAATATGGATTTTTGGGAGCAAGTGGCAGTCTGGGTCTTTTTAGACCCTAATGCACAATGTGTCGCTAGAGGCCGCTGAAAGCTTCTTTTGACCGCAAAATGTTCGTTTCCAAAAGTTAGAAAAAGTGAGGAAATTTCAGGTTGCTATCATATTTCGTTACAATGTTACAGCTTTTTTAAAGTAACGCCGGGTCAAAAAAAAAAGACACTAGGAAGGTTAAGGTTATCTGTTCTTATCGTGTAGATGAAGGTTTGAATACATGGATTTTTACATCACCAGAATGTTTTTCTGTGTCCGTGATTCATGGATGGTTCCTTATACCTAATTGCCTCAAATTATGTCTCTTCCATTGAAATACTCTTCCATGCCACGAAGAAGTAGAATCATGAATATTTCCTCTAGTCCTTAAATCATTTAAAATTTTCAATATTCTTAATGTTCGTATTTGTTTCCAAATCTGGGATCATGAAAAAATCACAATTTCAGATTTTTCGATCCAAAGTTTGAATTTTTTAACAGCAATTTTTATAAGAACCAGTACATAAAAAAAATCCTAAGCCCCTAATAATTTCGTGATTCAGAATAGAATCTTCTGTTCCAGCACCTTTTTTGTCTTCAAGCACGTATAATGAGAGAGAGAAGGATTAGTATTTTCCATTTAATTCCACTACTTTATTTGCTTATCCTTGACAGATACGCGTATTTCGTCTACAATGTGCAGACTTCTTCAGTGTCTTGTACTAATACTCGACTCGAGTATTAGTATTAGTACAAGACACTGAAGAAGTCTGCACATTGTAAACGAAATACGCGTATCTGTCAAGGATAAGCAAATAAATTAGTGGAATTAAATGGAAAATACTAATCCTTCTCACTCTCATTATACAGGTATTCCACTAAGACGCCCACATTCATCAGGATTCAAGCACGTGCTTTTGAATGTCAAAACAATGTGAAACCTTCATTCAGGGCGTGGTAGAGTTAAAACAACCAAAACGGCTTAAAATTCTGAATAGCTTTAACAAACGCCAAAATTAAATGGTAAAGCGTTCATAAAAACGGAAAAACCAATCATAAAAATAATCCCATAAATCTTAAAAATGGTTTATAAACTGCGCATCATTTAAGATTAAGACTCGACCAAATTTGAAAACTGTTCATCCGTTGCATCCACATGTATGATATAATAAAAATAAATTTAATTGATTTTCATATTGAGGAAAATTGGTTTTTATTTTTCTAATAATTTTAATGTTAACTTACTTTTAAATCACTTTGAATGCAAGTATTTAACCAACACAAAATTTAAAAAAAAAAACATGCATTTTCTTTTGGGGCCTACCTTAGCTCGGTAAAGGCACGGCTTCAAAACAAGATCATGCTGGAAATGGCTGGGTTCGATTCCCGGTCCGGTCTACGAATTTTTCCGGTTGGAAAATTTCTCGATTTCCCAAAAAAATAGTACATGCATCGAAAGCTCTCAATTAATAACTGTGGAAGTGCATTTAGAACACTGAGTTGTGAGCACGCAGTAAGATAATATGCGCTAAGCAATAAGCTTGAAATGCGATGAAGAAGAAGAAGAAGAAGAAGAAGAAGAAGAAGCATTTTCCTAATTTACCTCAATTTTGATTATCCTAATCAGTAATTAAATGTCTAACGTTTGTTCTTAAAACTTAAAAAACCAATGGTCAAGTTGTCCGAATTCCTGTAGGTGGCGAACCAGTGATTGATCAACGCTGTGTTCAAATTTTTTGACTTTTTTGTTTTGCTACAGGCGCTCAAACATTGTCATGTGAAACATTTCTGATAAACTAATATAAAACATTAACACATTGATGATATCTCCTTTCGCTTTTCCATCAATTTCAGGATCCCGGCATGAACTACAACAACACAACCCGATCCCAGTTGAACTTCATACCGTCGACGGAGGACGACGGAAAGCTGATAACGTGCCGTGCCGAAAACCCAAATGTCACCGGATTGTATCTAGAAGACGCATGGAAGATAGAAGTAGTCTGTAAGTAAAAATGTCACAAACAACCGGACTGTAAAAGGGTAACCCACCAAGTGGAAATATTTTCCTTATGCACTGGTTCGCTGTGCAAACGTATAGCCATAAATGTCACTATCGGAATCTATATCGCTTTGGCAACTTCATTCACCAGCTACGCCGTTTGAGAGACCCCATAACCATAAGTAGGGGGGTTCACCATCTTTGGTATCGTTCGACGATGGCGCGGTGGCTATAACCGTCAGAAAGAAATTAATTAAATTCAAATTCGAACCACCGCTCGTAAAAGCTAATAGCTCTAATAACGCTCTAAAACATTTCCGCGAGCTTGGCAATGCGATGACATCAACGGAAAGGCTGGTGCGGAAGTCATTGTCTGGATGGAACACTCGCAAGTCGCGACACATCCAGTCTAGCACTCCACCCGAAGGAGAGGAACATTTTTTCATTGCCAACTTAATTGCGGTTCCGATTCGGTACTTTTGATAAAAGTTTATCTGTTTTGTGTCGGAACAAGATTTCGTGGGGGAGGTGCGAAAAGTTGACTTCGAACTGTTGGTGACAAGTGGCAGAAGTAAACCAGCTTCGCTTCGGCGATCAACCCGGGTGTTAATGCTTTATACCGAGTAAAATTCTGAATCTAATTCCAAACCATCGTAATTTGTTTACAGCAAAAAAAAACTTTGAAAATCAGAGTCTGCCTATTTTAGCCCTGCCTTACTACATCCTCCCGAGTAAAGCGGGTCAGTATCTACTAGTTCCGAAAATGAAAACTTATGACAAGGCAAAGATCGTATCAGGAAGTCAGCTATCTATTTTGCTTGCACATTTATTGCTCATAACATTTAACTAAATGAACTAACACGACGACGACGATGGTCGACGAAGGGGCCTCGGAGCTTGTCCGTCGCACAGTGGCCCAGAACGGTCAAAATCCATTATCTCATGAATCTTGCATTTTAGACAAGTAGTGTTTTCAGGAAATTTTCTGGATACGTTCATTTGACATTGTCAGATTGAATGAGATCTTAAATTTTAAAACAAGCTGAAGATACTAGGTCTTTATTTCTACAACTCATTGAAATAAGGAACGTTTTGACGTAGCACTACGTTTTTAATTCATATACTAGGGGTCACATTAAAAAAACCAAAATTCAGACTTGTAACGAAAAATCCCAAACACGGACGCAACTGTAGAGCACAAATCGAACAAACGACACATTGCGCATGCTCACAAGAGCTAAGCTAGGTCAATTGGCGAATCAAAGCAAAGCCAAAACTGGTCATGCGACAACTAGTTTTAATATCCGCAATTACAAAAATGATGATGTACTAAAAAAATGTCTTGCAATTTGACAGATATCAAAACGTCAGTACCATTTTCACCCACTCGCCATCTGTGAGTCAATCGTCACCTAAATTCTTAAATACTCGGTTGATCACTCACCATTGCACCAATGAATGAAAGGGAGAAGAAAAGCAGCGATAATAAAAACGCTTGCCAAATCGTTTTCTTCGTCATTTGCTTTCGAGTAACGGACGGATAAGCATCGGACACGACGCATGAGTGGAACAACACGCATCGCACGCAGTGTTGCCACATTATTTCTATTTTCAATCTGTATTTCCACCGTAAAAAATCTTGTTAATCGGTTTCTGGCTGACAAAAATCTGTAAAATAATGTATATAAATTCTAGAAGCATGATAGTGTGATCTTATTGCGGATCGTCGTAAATATACTTCAAGTTCATTTAGAAATAGTTTGTTCATAGATTAGAATCTTGAAGAATGACTTAAGTTTGCTTTCTAAATAATTAAATCTATTTAAAAGACCTCGAAATCCTGAATCTTAGTTTTTTTTTGAGTGATTTGTATCTGTTTTATAAGTTTAAAAATACAAAAAATCAAGTCCCAGTAATGAGAGACAAAACTGAAAAAAAAATAATGAAGCAACAATCACATTTTTGCATTCGGAAATTGTTGGAGAAAATGATCCTTTTTCGCTTGGACAAATGGGTTGAGACGAACCACCTACTCTCAGATACTCAATTTGGTTTCCGTAGGGGCAAGGGAACGAACGACTGTCTCGCGTTGCTTTCCACAGAAATTCAGTCGGCTTTTGCTAAAAAAGAGCAAATGGCTTCTGTGTTCTTAGATATTAAGGGAGCTTTTGATTCAGTAACGGTTGAAGTCCTTTCAGACAAACTCCACCCATTAATTAATAACTTTTTGTACAATTTGTTGTCAGAGAAACATATTAGCTTTTCTCATGGAAACTCTACAGCTTCTCGATTTAGTTACATGGGTCTCCCCCAGGGCTCATGTTTAAGCCCCCTTTTGTATAATTTCTACGTCAGAGAAATTGACAATTGTCTAAGTGACAACTGCACGCTGAGACAACTTGCAGATGACGGAGTAGTGTCTATGACAGGGCCCAGAGAGGCCGACCTGCAAGGACCCTTACAGGATACCTTAGACAATTTGTCTACTTGGGATATTCAGCTAGGTATCGAATTCTCCACGAAGAAAACTGAGTTGGTCGTTTTTTCTAGGAAGCATAGCCCAGCACAACCGAAGCTTCAACTTTTGGGTAGGCCGATCACTCATTCCATGTCTTTCAAATATCTTGGGGTCTGGTTCGATTTCAAATGCACCTGGGGATCCCACATTGAGTATCTGAGACGAAAATGCTAACAAAGGATCAATTTTCTTCGAACAATTACCGGAACGTGGTGGGGAGTCCATCCGCAAGATCTTCTAACGTTGTACAGGACAACGATTTTATCGGTTTTAGAGTACGGTCGTTTTTGCTTCCAGTCGGCGGCTAAAACGCACATCATCAAACTGGAACGGATCCAGTATCACTGTCTTCGTATCGCGTTAGGATGCATGCACTCGACTCATACTATGAGGCTCGAAGTGTTAGCGGATATGTTGCCACTCTCTGATCGGTTTTCGGAATTATCCCTCAGGCTCCTCACCCGTTGTGAAATTATGAACCCACTGGTGATTGCAAACTTTGAGAAGCTTCTTGAGCTAAACCCTCAAACTCGTTTTATGACATTGTACTACGTGTACATAACACAGGATGTCAGCCCTTCACAGCATAATCCTCATCGTGTATGCTTCTCCGACTTCGGCAATTCAGTTAGTTTTGATTTATCTATGACGCGGGAGATTAGTGGGATCCCAGAACATCATCGTTCCATGATTGTTCCGTCAATTTATGCTGCAAAGTTTGGCCAAGTTGATTCCGCAAGATCGTTCTTCACAGATGGATCATTAATAGAGGCGTCCGCTGGTTTTGGTATTTATAACGAATTTCATAGCGCCTCTCGAATGCTTCAAGCTCCCTGTTCCGTATATGTTGCTGAACTGGCGGCAATACATTATACGCTAGAAACGATCGCCTCATTTCCACCAAATCACTATTTTATTTTTACGGATAGTCTCAGTTCTGTCGAGGCTATTTGCTCTATGAGGCCGGTAAAGCACTCCTCGTATTTTCTCATGAAAATACGAGAGCTTTTAAGTGCTTTATCTTTAAGATCTTTTGTCATCACCTTTGCATGGGTCCCATCTCATTGCTCGATTCCGGGCAATGAGATGACTGACTCACTTGCTAAGGTGGGCGCAATGGAGGGCGATATTTACAATCGACAAATCGCCTACGATGATTTTTTCTTCATTTATCGTCAACAGTCACTCGTCAGCTGGCAGAATAAGTGGAGTGAAGGGAGTTTGGGACGATGGCTATATTCGATCATCCCTAAGGTGTTGAAGAGTCCTTGGTTCAAGGGGTTGGATGTGGGTCGAGACTTCATTCGTATGATTGAAATATGAATAAAAAACTAACATCCCTTCTAACAAGCAATTAGAAATCAGAACATCTGAGCATCAGAAGTCCGTTAAAAATTAACGAAGATAATAAAATTAGTATTTGGTTAGGTGCTATTACCTACTCAAAAGGAAGAAAGGATTATTTATGGATATTAATAAATATAATCCAGAGTTAAACATATATTCCACTTATTTGAAAAATCTAAATAATCTGTATATTTAAAAAAAAAATCTGTAGTCTGTGTGTACAGATATCTGTATAAAAAAAAGAAAAATCTGTATCATTATAGATAAATCTGTACATGTGGCATCACTGAGGCGACGACGAAAACACTCACATCGACCGGGGGAAAGGCTTCCCGCAATAGGCAGCATGACTAGGCCGCCGTCATCCAGTCGGCATCGACTTGCACTGGTGTGGCCATCATTTGAAAAACAACCGGCCCTTTTCAGGGCCATCAATTCTAAAACGCAAAGAGTTAAGAGCTAAATGATTAACATATTTGTTCCGTCCAGTAGCGGTCCTACATTAAGCTTCCGTTCGTGCCCCTAGGCACATACCTTCCTACTTTTAACTTTATTATAATGAGAGATAGAAGGATTAGTAATTTCCATTTAATTCCACTACCTTATTTGCTTATCCTTGACAGATACACGTATTTCGTATACAATGTGCAGACTTCTTCAGTGTCTTGTACCAAGGTTGCAAAGACTCATTTCAGCTAAAACAATGTTTTTCTAAATTATGAAATAATTAGATGCCATGATCAAATTTTGAATTGGTAGAATACAAGAAGAGGTTGCAAATAATGTGTTAGACATATTAAACCTGTTTATTTCATTTCATGAGAGTCACAATCAGCGATTTTTCACAAACTCACTCACTCACTCACTCACTCACTCAGCGATCAGCAAATCGCTGATTGTGACTCATAGAAAGCAAAATTTACAGGTTTTATGTTTCCAACGCATACTTTGTAACCTCTTCTTGTAAGTTACAAGTAAAACATGCCATCATACCATCTTTTGGTTTTATTATTCCGAAAAACATTATTTTAGCTGAAATGAGTCTTTGCAACCTTGTCTTGTACTAATACTCGACTAACTCGACCAGTCGAGTATTAGTACAAGACACTGAAGAAGTCTGCACATTGTAGACGAAATA